TGACAAGAAAAAAGAGAAAACAAATTGAAAAGATGAAATAAGAAAAAATTAATTAATTATTTAATTTATATGTCAATAAATCAAAGAAGTTAACTTAAAAATAGAAAAAGAGAAAAAAGAATAAAAAGCTTACGACACTCGGTATTCCCAGGCGGTCACCCATCCAAGTACTAACCGAGCCCGACGTTGCTTAACTTCAGTGATCGGACGAGAACTGGTGTATTCAACGTGGTATGGCCGTAGGCGAAGATTTCTCACGAAGAACAGGTAAAAAGGAAGAAGACAGAACGAAAAATGAGTACTATGTTGATTTAACTTCATTTTTCTTTTATTTTATATTTACTCAGTAAATACGAACTTGGAAAGAAACACTTTATTGATAAGAAACATTAAAGAATTCTTTAAAACTCATTTGGACAACAATGTTATTTTTTAGAGTTTTTCTTTTTAGAAAAATATCTCAAAATTAACTACCAGTATAATACTGAAAAATGAATGATCTAGCATCATTAAGAACATTACGAAGTCAATGTGCTTATAAAGAAGATGTTGATGTTCGGAGAGGAGAAAAAATTACTGGTGGAAATGGTAAAGCACTTTATAGAGCAGAATTTATTACTACAGATGTTATTAAAAGAAAAGATACACCAATTGTTTTACTTGAAATGATAGGAAATGATGCAGTTCTTGAAATTTATCACTATATTACACTTTCTCATCCAAATATTATTGAAACTTATGGTCTTGTTAAACCAAATATTGAAACATTAAATAATCAATCAATTTTACTTTTACAAGAATATGCTAAAGATGGTGATCTCAGTAGATTATTAACTGAACGAATTTTTATTCCATCAAAATGTGTACTTCTTGAAATATTTATTCAAGTAGCCGATGCTATGGTTTATCTTTCGAAAAATAAAATTATACATGGTGATTTAGCATGTAGAAACGTATTAGTTGTAAAATCTCATCCAACGAATCCAAAACAGAATTTAGTTAAATTAATTGATTTTGGTTTAACACAAAATGAAACAATACCAGCACATGTAGAAATTATATATCCAATACGTTATGCAGCTCCAGAAATTCTACGTAATAATGGTCGATCAGGTTATTCATCAAAATCTGATGTTTATTCATTTGGTGTTCTCGTGTGGGAAGCTTTTTCTCCTGAAAAAACAATGCCATATGATTTTATTTCGAGTGATGATGAAGTTCGACAACGAATACTTAATGGTGAACAATTGAGACAACCAAATAATTGTGATTCAGAGATTTGGGCACTTATGGTTCAATGTTGGGAGAATAAGCCTGAAGATCGACCCAGTTTTGAAACAATACATTCAAAATTAAAAAATATTCAAAATAAAAATATATCATCACCTCGATTGAATAATAATGTTTCAAGTCTGTTTAATTCTAATTATAATATTGATCAAACTAACACATTGCAATACATAGATGATACTCAAACACTCAATTATGAAGATAGCTATAAGAATTCACCAAGATTATCATTATCATCTTCTTCTAAGTTAGTTATTTTTTATAAGTATGATTGAAATATTTGTTAATCTAGATCAGATGATGAAGGTGTTTTGCCCTGTGAATTTTGTCAAACACAATATTCTGTTCTTGAGCTCGTCACTCATCAGGTATGGTATCATAATTTAAAGAAAAAGAATAGAAATAGTTATTACTGGTTTATAGATAAACTGTTCGGATAATCCACAAAATTATAAAATAAAATCAGGTAAACATGGATACATTTCTAATTGTCCAATTATATTTTATTTTCACTTTTCTTCTCAGATAGAAATCCTAGTCAATTATCTTTTGAATCAAAACGTCCATATTCATCAAATTCCAATCAAAATAGACACAGTAAGTAAACATATTAAATTACTAAATAGAAAAATATTTCTTTCAATTCATCTCTCTTATCAACAGCTGATGATAGACCACATCAATATGCCTGTAATAATCCCATTTCAAAACAAAGAAGTATTGTCCCTGACGAAAAAACTTCTAGTTCAAATACACCTATTCAAAAGAGAATATCGTACGTATTTAGTATAAATTCAAACTCCTTTTTATTTTTAATATGAAATATCTTCTTGATATTTATTAAGACAATCAGATACAGCACCATTGCCATGTGAAATTTGTAATAAATCAATTGATAAATCACAATTTGAAAAACATCAAGTATTTTATATAAATTTATCTGAAAAAATTATCTTTTTTGTCAATTTATTAAGATGCAATGTGCTAAGAATGATAAAGATCGTATTGAAAATATAAGAAGGTTTGTTTGTTATTTATTCGATTTCTTTATCTTTTCTATTGTATATTTATATATATATAGACAAATTGAAGCAGAAGATAATCCAGAATTTTGTAATGCAAAATATTCAATAGATGAATTCGATAATCATCAGGTATATTTCTTAACATAAAAAACTATATTTTATTTATTGTATTTGTAAAGAATACTTGCCGATTGAATCGATCGAAACCAACATCTATGATTAATCCAGGGAAATCTGTAAGTTAAGATGATATATTTAATAATTTATTGTTTTTATTGAATTACTTTTAATAATTCAAAGGATGAAAATTCCAGCAATAACAATGAAAAACCGTAAAATAGATAAAACGTATTATTAGAAATAATTTTTATTTTTCTGATTGTTCTAGGTCATGCATTCGAGATTTTTTCTCACGATTGTTTTCATTTAACAAGAAAAAATAAGCATGAAGGTATATTTTCTTCTAATTAGTATTATTAAAAATAAGTTAATCTTTTTTGTTATAATTTTTATGTAATAAAATTCAATCTTAGTATTATATTGAATCATTTATATTCATATAAGTTAAATAAAGTGAAAAGATGAAGTGGAAGATGAAGAAAATCAGTTGTTTGATTTAGAAAAAAACACAAATATATCTAGGTGGTATGAATAAAGATTGATAATGGATCGAGGTCCACAAAGGTCAGACAGAAACATAAATACCTGATGTACGCAAGAGACACAAGATATGTACCAGAGAGAAAAAAAGAGATCTATATGAAAGAATAGAAAGAAATATACGAGAGAGAAAGATATAACTATGTAACAATATAAAATTATGATTGTGATTTTATCTAAAAAATATTTAATCCTATTCTTATAAAATGTTATACAATATATAGAAAAAAACGAAATAAGCTACAGGATTTTTTATATTCCATAACTTGAAATTAATAATCTCTTTCAGTTTGATCTTTTTATTGTTTCAAAAGTTATTTGATGTGTGTCGTTTGTGATTTATTCGAAAAGGAAAAAGAAAGACTTTTACGATTTGTTTGGTGAAAGATATATTCTGTTTTTTAAAAAAATATGTATATATCTACCTATTAGATGTTACAATAATTTATATATATACAGCAATAGGAGCATTTTCTGAGTATTTCATATAACTGATCTCTATTTATTGAAAACCTAGAAGTAACAATTAAATCAGAATGTATAACATACTTTTTATTCATATATTCGAAAACGATATTTAACACTTTTTTAGTAGCAAAGTGAAACTGTAGCATTACTATACTTCTTAAAGTATTATCTTTATTTTTTTACTAAAGATTAATTATGACATTTGTTTTTTTAATCGATAGAACATCATTGCATGATAGATAAAGAAGTAGATGCATATCTTTAAAATGAATATTTATTTGAGTCTTTCGGTGTCGAATAATACTTGTTTTTGGTTGTGTGTGTGGGTTGGCAGTAGGTTCACTCAACATCGACATCTATACCCATACACTCTACTCCTAATCCACATTTTTGTCTACTATGTGGTAAGATAGACCAATAAATTTATTCTAAATATAGAAATTTTTAATTAAATATGTGTTTATTTTTTGATATAAAGAAAAAAGCATATAGTGTCTTTCGAACAAAAATGATGGAAAAGAATTTGAATAAATAAAGTTTTTTGAATAAATATTTGTCAGTAATAAAATAGTATATGAAATGTTCTTAACATTGATTTAAAAAAATATTCAAAAGATTATAAAAAGAAATAAGAGCAATATCTATTTTTCCATCTCGATTAAAATCTCCGGCTGTAACAGCAGAAACATAATAATCGGTGGTAACTGTTTGATATGTTTGAAATATTCCATTTTGTTTATTTAAAAAAATATAAATATATTGATTATAAAAATCTGCAGCAATAATATCAATGAATGTATCATTATTTAAATCAACTAATGAAATCGATCTTGAAGTTGCACCAATATAATATGTATCTCGTCTATTAAAATTTCCATATCCATCATTAAATAAAACACTTAATGTATATGATCCATCATTAGTATTAACAATATCCATAAAATTATCATTATTTAAATCAGCAGTGGCTATACCCCATGGTTCAATACCTGTGAAATATGTTTTACTATTTTTAAACATTCCATTTTTAGAATTAATAGCAACACTAACTGTATTATCACTTAAATCAGTAACAACGAAATCAGGATATGAATCATTATTAAAATCTGCAACAGATACAGCTGTAGCATCATTTCCAACTGGATACAATATAGAATAATTGAATGATAAATTATAATAATCATATAAAATAGTAACAGAAGCGCCAAAATTATTAACAACAACAACATCTAATAAATTATTTTTATTAAAATCGCCAGTGTCAATCCAATATGGATAATTTCCAACTGGATAAGTTATTGGTGAATTAAAATTTTGGTTGCCTGTATTAATTAAAATGGCAATTTGATTTGATGAAGTATAAGTTAAAATTATATCAGATTTATTATCATTATTCATATCTCTAACAGCAACATAAGCTACGCCGAAAGTCGTAGAGTATAATTTTTGATTTTGGAATGTTCCATTTTCTGAACCATAGTATATGCTAATAGTTGTATCATATCTATTAACAACAACAATATCAAGGAAAGAATCTGCATCGATATAACCAGTGCTCATCTGCCATGGTACATTTCCAGTTGAATAACGCGTCTTATCTGAAAATTTTAATGGATTACATGGAATATCTAGAAGAGATTATTTTTATTTTTATAAGAGAAAATAATTGTTAACCTACATGAAGAATTTATATTCGAAATATTTGTTAAAATTGATGTTGTCACTAAACAAATATATTTATTTACATATGATACTATTTTATTTTTACCTTTAGAAATAATTTTTGTTCGAGTTGCTCTTGTCGTTCTTTTCGAGACGCTTGTCGTTTCTACAAACAGTTTTTATGTTATTTGATTATTAGACAAATTAAAATGAGTCTTTTTCTCTTTCGAATCATATAAAGATCTTTATTTAATTACAAAACTTTATTTTAATTCAATAAATACGTTTTTGAAAAATTTTATTGATTGATTTGAACTGACAATTAAATTAGTAATCTCAAATAAATCAATATCTGATTGAGAACGATATTTTACCAAATGCAATACAGTTATCTACTTGATTTTATTGGATACAATGAAATTACTCTACATCTAACTTTGATATTTTAATAATATTTGAAGAAAATTCTTATTACCTATATCATATTTTATATTACTGGATGAAAATGATGGTTGATAACGAATTACTATAATTACTGTAATAGTACCAATAATGATTAATATTGGAGTAAAAACACAACTCCAAAGAAGAAATCGACATTTTGTTGATATAATGTGTTCTCTTCAAAAAAGATTTTTTAAATTGAAATATTAATTCAATGAAAAAGTATTACTTTTGAGAGTGATCTTTTGGAATTGATGGTTTTTGCATCAAAATTTTCTTGTGATAAAAACAGCTACAAATTAATAAAAACTACAAATCGACTTCTTCTGACACGGAAACGATCATATCTTACTTCTTTTTTAAAATCAAGTTTCTTTTGTAAAATTTTTAACTAAAATAGATTAATAAAATGAAATATGTCAATAGGTATTTTAAATCTGTTTACTTTACACTGATGATAGAAATGATTTTTGTAGTTTTATACTTGTTAGTAAATAAAAGAAAATGTCAGTATTACTAAGAATATTTCTAATATATATATATATACCATAAATACGTCATTATTTCATTTTAAAAATGGTTTTTATCTTTGAAAGAAAAAATGTTTTAAGAAAATAAAAAACAATTATTTTATTCAAAGAAATTACTGCGTGTTTATTTATTCACTAGAAATGATTGTTATCAAAAATTAAATATTTTTATTTTAAAAGTGATCGTTATTATCTGAAAAATAAACAAATCTGTTATTGAATTATTGATATATACAAGAATCTTATTGATTTTATTATTTAACAAAAGATCCACTCAGATTATTCTAAACAACATTTTTTTTTCTTTAATTAAAAAGAGTAAATCATTGTTCATGTTTTGTCCATTGCTCCATTCAATAAACTAATATTTTTATGTTGTTCTTTTTGTATGTATGTTGACAGTATACGTTTATGAAAAATATTAAAATATCCAAGTGATTAAGAATACTAATTTAAATAGAATTTATAGTAATGAACATATTTCTAAAGTTATCTTTATTACTTATGTAAAATAAATTAAATTTAAGATAAAGAAAAAAAAACAATTTCTCTGAAAATCAAGTTTTTGATAAAAATTTTATTTTTATAAGAAGAATTTTATTTATTTATCTTAAACAGTAGTTTCGAATTGAATAAATCAACATATGAATACAGATTTAGTCGCAATTCTTATCCTCTGTATGCGGATGTATTTAATAAATTGATAAGAAGTGAGAAACATAGAAAATATCATTTATATTTAGAAAGAACGTTTTTTGTTATTAAATTAATGAATACTTTTAATTTAATGTAGGCACTGTCTGAGCGCACACTCCTGCACACATGTCCGAGACGCATGACATGCCTGAAACGCATGATATCTCTGAAACGCAAAACATCTCCGAGACGCATGATATCTCTGAAATGCATGATAGAAATGCATTATTAAAATCATTTTTGTCGATTGTTGTTCTAATTAGATCTGTGTATGTGGGTGTTACCGTAGATCTACTTTACTAAGTAATAGTAAACAATTTTTGTTTTACATTCGTAAAATAAAGATAAAGCAAATCTTTATTGAATATAACATATATGCAAAATGAGCAAAGGATTTTCTTCATAAACCTTTTGTACATGCAGTTTTCATCTATTAGCATTATCCCATCTGAACTTGTTGTCGATAATAAAAAAGAATTATGATGAATATATCCTGCTCACCCATTTACTATTGAATTGAATTTATCTTTATTCTCTAAAATAGCGATTTTGTTTATATTTATGCTTTATTATAAAGTAATATCTCTATTTGTGACAACTAATCAATCTTTACTGTTTCCATTAATATTTGTAAATTCCAATAGAATATTGATATTTTCAATTCTCTCTCTTCAAAAGTATTTAAATCACAAACATCTCAAATCACAATGTTTTATTTTATAACTACAGATATCGGATTTTTCTACAACTAATCAAAAGATATTGAAAGAAAGATTTAATATTTTTAGTTCAAATAATAATCAACAAGATTCTCATCTTCGACTTTAAGTATAAAGAAGATAATATTAATTATAATAAAGGAATTTACTTAATAAAAATGACTTTTGTTTTTCAAGAACAAAAAAAATGTTGGTAAGGAGACAAAAGGTTGAATCATAAATGAAAAAACATTCATCTTCACCAATGAGAAAAAGTTTTCTTCAGAAAAAAAAGATTCGCCCACATTTTTTTTGTTTTTTCCCAAACAATTTTTTTCTGAGCTGTATAAAAGGTCTAACACAGTTATATTGTTACATGTCATTTTTAGAAAGTGAATTATTATATTGATCTCAAACGACAATAACATTTGTTTTGCTGAACAATTCAATACATTAACTTCTTAGGTAAATTTTATTCTTAATTCATTAAATAAAATCATTTATAATCCATTCCATTCAATTCAATCTTAATTCTAACAAAACTTTAACGAGATAGTTATTACCATTTCCAGTATTATATCTTTTTTTTATTACTCTCTCTACCCAAGTGGAAGATCTAGTAAGCAAGATATTTCACTAGGATATGTTATTCATTTAAATTGTATCGATATTCGTGATTTATAATCAAATACTATTGTGATCATTAGAGATAAATGAACAATGTTGAATCTGTTTACTATTCATCATATAAATATATTTTTTCATAAACAACGAATCAACTATAAATACCTTCTAACCAGTAATATTAACAACAGAGATACTCTTTTTTACACAAAGAACAGTTGTACTTACATCTCTATTGCGATTTAGTCAATAATTATTAGTTCATTTTTCAACTAGATAAATCGCTTATTTTTATTCTGAAAAAA